AGAGAGAAAGGAAAAGAAAAGAAAAAGAAAGAGGAGAGAGAGAGTTGCATGGGGAAGGGGGGAGGGAGACGTGCACGCAAGGGGGGCAGACGCGGCGCGCAGAGGAGAGAGGAGAGAGAGAGAGAGAGAGACTCAAAGTCAAACTTCTCACTCGAGTGCGATCCAACGGACACGGTTCAAACTCGAAAACGATCTAACGGTCCCCTATAATCCTAATTAATAATATAGGAAAATGGCCAAAATAAAATATGCCAAAACACACCACGAGGGAGGTCTACCAGTCCAAATCCGCATCCGGTCAAAAATCCACTTTTCACATACTCCGGGTAATACCGACGCTGGCCACAATAATATCGACACCGTCCAATTTATTTCTTCCCGAAACTCCTGAAAATCGACTGCCAAGTTCGGGGTCTAAATAACGGCCATATTCGATCGAGTGCGATTCTAGCGAAATCTCTAATTTAAAATGATAACCGGGAGTGATCAGTTCCCGGGCGAGATTTTACTATAAGCACACTGACAAATTACGCGTTTTATAAAACCCAAAAATGGGCCGAAATTCGGGATGTCACAACACATGTCCTAAATAACAATCTAACTTGAATCCATTCAATGCTTGATCCAATTTTATTAAATGAGATGCCATGAAATGGTTTAATTTTTCCCTTAATTCTCAAAGTGCGTGGGTTGAGGAAATATGTGATTAGGCTAGGTGGTTTATTTAGTGTATTGCATGGTTTATCGAAAGAAAAATACTATGTTACGCACTTTATAACTAGTCTAAAATAGACTGGCACGTCCGATGAAGTTTATAACTTAGAAGAAAATGGACAAAAATCATTTAACAAATTCAGGGTTTGGCATCTACTTATCCTTTTCTTCCCGCAACCAAGTTGAAAAGTAACGTTTGTCAAACAATACAATATTTCCAAAATCCAAACATTTAATTATTGTCTTGTTTGCCCTTTTGTCACAATTGCAAGAAGTTTCCATGGACTTGCGAGTGTTAGCTGCATTAACAAAGATACACATGAAACATCGGGAAACAATGAATTGGCTTAGCGAGATGACAACCAATGACAATAATAATCTAATGATGGTATTGCGTTCGTACTTCCATAAACAAAAGTTGTCTTCCTACCTAATTCTACTTTTTAAATTGAAATATATAATAGTTGTTGTGCTTTTATTATACATTAATTAATTTAATAGTATTATATTTCTCTACCATTACCCACTACCAATTTTTAAAGGCAAATATTGATATTTCATCTTAGGGAGAATGTCACTATCCACGTTACCTAGCTGGAAGATGTAACAAAGACCAAGACTCGTTCTAGCTAAAAGTAAAAATAAAAAACAAAGACCAAGCCAGCCGCGTGGACATCTCGATTGTCAAAAAAAAAAAAAAACAAAGACCAAGACTCCCACATAATAAAAGACCAAGACAAATAATTAGTGATTAGTGAGGCAGACTTATTAATTTTTCTTTTTTTCGCCAAATCAGACTTATTAATTGTCCTCGGCCTGGATAGATATAAAATAAAAGTGCAACTAAATTTGATTATGATTGGCAAGCAAAAAAAAATCAGTCCCATTTATGGTCCTTTAGAATTCATTAAAGGAATAATCCAGTTGGCTTCAATGACTCTTCCCGCGACTATCTTTGAAAAGTCATTAATTGTTGACCAATAAAACACTGTCCATGATGCAAATCTTTTAATAATGGACACTAAATCGCGTTCTATTTTTTGACATATCTTCTAATAATGGACCAAAATTTCTCAAACAATTTTTTAAACCACGTGCCTTCTATTCAAATGTTGCTCTTTTTATTGATTTTTAGCGATTGAGGATGAAGATTATTTTATTTTTTTTCCACATTCAACAACCAAATCCAATTAACAAGCAATACTGCAGAAGATGAAGACCATGTTTTCTCATTTCCACGGGAAAAATTACTGAAAATTTTTTAAACCTATTGTATTTATGCCAATTTAATCCTAAACCTTTCACTTTTACCAATTTTTTTAGGTCAAAATTTTGTCAATTGAGTCTTACACCTTTTGATGATTTGCCAATGCAGTCCTTCTGGTCAATTTTGACCGGAAATGGATAACGTGGACGCCGGCCATGCGGCCAACGTTGATATGGATAATTTTTGTATTTTTTTAATTTTCAATCTTATGTAAAAAGGAATGAGTATGATTCAACATGGAGACTATGAGTAAATTGGATAAACTTCAAGTGTAGAGATTGCAATGGAAATTTCGTCAGGTAGATGTACAAGACAAATCTCAAGTTTCTTTTATCTGTTGCTGTGCATCAGCAAAAGAAAATATTGACAAAGTAATACTGTTTCTTAATTTACATTTTTACCTATATATTAATATAAATATTGCAATGGAACAATTTTAAAAAATTTAGGGAAAATGGCATTTCCAACACTACTTTACTGTTCGGCAAAAAAAACTACTTTATTATGGCCAAAAGCTCCTCATGGTGACGGAAATTTCATAAGTCAAAGCTCTCTTTATGGGATCGGTCCTGCATTCAACGTGGACCGTTGATAAGAAGGGAAAAAAGGTGATCCGGCAAATCTGTTTTGCAAAATCGATTTTCTGTCATCACTTCCGGACATTAAAGGAAAATTACAGATGCAAACGTGATCAAATTATCATTTGATTAAGAAAAGTTACAATGAGTAAGGGAAATTACCAAGACATAGGTCTCAAAACTTTAAGAAGTGTAAAGGAAAGTTAGTTACAATCAATTTAGATATTATTCTAAAAATACACAAAAGAAATTTACTATGAACTGAATAGATATTATTTTTGTGGAAATTACTAAACATAGGTTTCGGAGAATTTATGACCTCCAAAGAAAAATTACACTCTATAAAGAAAAACTGTGAAAGGATATTTTACAGGTAAAATTACTATTAACAAGGACAATTTCATCACCAAAGGAAAGTTACAATCCATCCAGCAAGTTACTAACCATAGGAAAAGAAATCTACCCAAAACTTTGGCAGATTACTATATTTTGGGGAATATTGCAAATCATATGACCTACAGAACTTACGATGACAATAGGAAAATTGCTTCTTGTGAAGAAAAGTATGAAATTGATAAGTACATGGTAGATTACTGTGTGGAAAATTAGTAGGAAATTTACGAATACCAAATAAGAATCACCATTAATTAGACGGGATCCGGTCCCATTTTCCCTTCTCATCTAGTTGTTGTTGATTGTTCGATTGATTCTTGCCAATCTTTAAGTGGCTCTGAGTCGCGAAGAACATGTGGAGGAATTTGTTCAAATCAAAGTATTGCCTCGTAGCTTTCTTTCTTTGCCTTTTGCTCTCTATAAAGTCGTGGTGTATGCTTAGCATTCGTGATTGTTTGCACGAAGTAACTGCTGGAAAATCGTATGCGATTTTACTGCCAAATTTGCTTACTCCAACATAACAGCCAGTTATGGGAGCCCTTGTGTTTTAGGGTAACGTTTCTTGAAAAATCCTGAAGTTGAGCTTGACTCTAGTTATGGGGGATTGAGTCGAGTTGAGCCCGAGTATTTCAAACAAAGGAAAGAGCCAGAGTAAAGCAAACAAAAGAATGCATCAGTTCATTTTAGGGCATTCTTCTATGGTGCTTGGTGCCCCAATTCTTCTTTTTGTGTTTGCTTGTAATCTTCTCAAGAAAAGGAAAAAGAGTGGAAGCAGTACAAATTCAGAAATGAGAGCACTGATGGAGCATCTATGTCTTCGCTCATCTCTCCAACACTAGCAGGAGCGGGAACGTGATCCCCATGATGTATTCTTGAGCTTTAGAGGCTTAGATTCTCACTAAGGTTTCACCGATCACCTCTACCACAATTTCATGAATGTCGGAACCGTCCCTATGCTTGTGTTCAGGGATGATAACAGTCTCCTTGTTGGCAAGGGGTTGGTTCATGGCTCCTTGATGTGATCACATGGTCTAAAGTTTTCGTGCTTATAATATCTAGAAATTATGCTTCTAGCAAATGATGCCTTCTCAAGCTCATTCAACTCATGGACCACAAGAAAAGCACAAGACATTTAATCTTGCCTATTTTTTACAAAGTGGACCTATCATGTGTGAGATACCATAAAGGATTCACTAGATGCTGATGGACCTGGCGGAAATTGAGAAAGCTTCAACTCTTTAAATTATCTACATCTCTCTTGTGTTCATCATATGTTTCTACTTGCATTTGATTCTCACTGTTTAAAGCCTTGTTGGTGGTTGATAGTATGTAAAAGTGAATGTAAGTTTGATATAAACTGAACCTGTTTGCATATTCGTCTACTCTTTGATCTTGTTACTTTATTCGTTTGATAGAAGCATCCGTCCTTCATAAACTATTTTTGCATCTGCCAAAGTTTATTTGCAAGTATTCCGCGAAAAAGTTCAAACCTATGTAAAACAATAGCCTTGACACCAATAAGCGTAAGTTTGCCCTCTTGAATCTTGGAATCAAGAATGACATTATCCATTCTTGTGATAGTGCGATTGGCCCAAAGATTTACCCATTTTCTTGCAGAGACTAGCAAAACGATGATCCTAACATGTGAAGAAAATCAAAGTTGATTCTTTTTAATCACTAACATATCTCATGCTAGAAAATTTTTTGTTTTGTTTTTCTCATTTTCGTAAGATGATGTATTTCACAAAATAAATAGCATTTGATATCTAACTTTTAATAAACTCATGACTTTGAATTTTTTTCCCTTACATCACTAGATGTCTGTCACGCCCCGACTCAAATCTAATGCTTTCCACACCTCCCTTCCATGAGTCGAACGGTGCGACATCCCAGGAATACGCCCCCGACTCAATAGTCTCGCATCAGAGTCAATCGTTTAAACCCGGACAATAAATTGGAGAACACCAGAATTAAACTTGCACGCCCAACCGCCAACACTTACAAACCTTACATTATCCACATATGAACATACTTACACCTTCCCGATGTTTCTGGTCCATAAATTTTACATGCACATCCACTGCGATTACCTTAAAAACCATACATAAAAAAGAGGCAAATTCCTTATCTACCAAAAGCGGTACTACACGAACACTAGCTCATCGCCTCCTCACTAGTCCTTGCGTCCTTGGTACGGCATCCATTCAGGGTGTACTCCACGAAATTATCCTCGGTGTGCATGACTGTACCAAAACATTCTGACGGTGGCGGTGGTGACTGATTCCTTGTTCAGGCGGGTTATCTGAAATGGTTTGGTTTATACAACCATGAGACACTTCTCAATAAGTTGCAACCTAAACCCTACCTAGGCTATCACGTACCTCCAGACAAACACACAAACACGCACATTCGTGCACATCAAGTCATCACATCGCAGGCACATCACATAATATTATCAGGCAAAATCATGCGCACACCCGCATTCAGTCATCATCACGTCATATGCAAACACGTACATGTACCATTCTCATCCCACATACTCATTCCGTTCTCATTTCCTCTTTTCCACATCACTCGCCAGTGACCCGCGTTGAAGTACATGCCTCAGGCACACTGCGACCATTCATCACCACACTTTCGGCCCGTGTACCCGTACACGCCTCAGGCCTCTCGATCGCGCCTCGAGCATCACACGCCTCGGTCCGATCCCACATTCACACTCGATCGCGCCCCAAGCATCACACGCCTCGGTCCGATCCCACATTCACACTCGATCGCGCCTCGAGCATCACACGCCTCGATCCGATCCCACATTCACACTTTCCTCAGCCCGCGCCAAATGCGACAGGCCTACATGATCGAAACCTGAGCTTATAATGCCTCAGTCCAATCCCGGTCTCACCCGAGCTGATCGTGCCTCGGATCGATTCTCAACCTTACTTTTTTTTTTTTCAAGCCTCAGCCTGTGCCAAATGCAACAAACCTACGTGATCGCTGCCCGAGCTTATGATACTCGGTCCGATCCCAATACTCGCAATTCCACACCTTCACATAGATTCCACAATCACATGCCACACCACATTTCTTTCTTACTCATGCCCGTGCTCGACACGCATATACCACACCCAACTGGCCCATCACACGTGGCCTGTGCACGCATCAATTAACACGTAAAACATGCTCACTCAGCATTTGACATGGCCAATTTCAACAATTAAATTAATCTGGCCCACGCGTGCACATAATCAAACACATTTCAATCCATCAAATCACAGTTCGATAAACACACAAGGTCACTCATGGACCCACAAACACAGCCACGTTCATAGGCATAATTTCGACATTTCCGAGCATATTAAACACCACAATCCAGCCATATTACCACACACCAAACCGACACCATTTGTCCTTAAATCGAGCCCTAAGCTCGCCAATTCCATCCCACAATATCCGACACTCTAATCGATCTCACTCCAGCCTCGAAACATCCTCATTTCGTCCTCAAATCACCTCATATAACACACATTCAAGCCTAAATTCTGGTCACGAGGCATCAACAATTCAATCCCGACACCAACTCCATTCCGCCCATTAAAACAAACATCCAAAGAATCGGGTAAAAACTGGGCAGTTTACACAGTGACCGAAATCCCATCCAAATAAATAGTAAACGAACTCCGAAAATTCTGAAATTTGGACACGTTGCGTAAAACATCTTGCTGAACATTTTTCGTGAAGAACTCGAAACTCAGTTCCAACTGGAAACACCTCTTTTGGTCATTTGAAGTCAGACAAAATCCGATTCGCTCGAACAGTCCCTCAGGCCATCAAAATACAACTCATTCGGTACCCAAATCATCTTGAAAAGCCTTTAAATTTTTATATGTCATAGCCACAAATGTCCCCAACAATTTCCAAGAAGGAAGTATTTTGAAAATAGGCCTGGAAAAATTTATAAAAATTCGAACAGACCCGAAGGTCGGGTGAACAGTAAATCGGGCAGTTTTATTTCGGTCCAAAAATGGACTTCCGAATGGCCTCTAATGATCTCAAAAAATTCCCAAATTAAAGTATGTCATACCTCAAGATGTTGGGAGAAACTTTTATGAAGAAAACTTCCTCAAATTCGGCCCAAAAAATTTTCTAAAAAAATAGCAAACCGGGCGGGTACAGTAACCGCGAATCCGCGATTCACCCCGAACCTCACGGATTCAAACCCGAACCGATTTCTACCGAATTCCAACCGCCAAAACTCATTTCCCGACGTCTAATCCAACTCACAACAACCACTAACAGCCATACTCAGCCACCAATAACCATGATCAACCACCAATAACCATGATCAACACCTTAATCAACCTCTAATCACCCTAAACCGCACCCAAACGAGTCCGAAAAAAATACCCGACGTCCTAGGCGAGGTTTAGATTACAACTTACTTGGTTCTAGACTAAAGCGGCTAGAACGTAGCGCGGCGGCGAACGGCGGGGACGGCGGTCCGACGATCGACTTGGACGATGATCGGCCCAAAGAGAGAGAGAGAGAGTTCACAGTTTGGGGGGGGTGTGCTGCCGTGGGCGAGGGGAATGAGTGAGGAGAGAGAAAATTTGACTTAAATAGTCAAATTTGGACCAAAGTGACAATTTACCAAAATACCCTTTCTCTAATCTTTTTGATCCGACGGTCCAAATTCGATCTTATCCTGAAATTTACTGTCCAGATCGAATCTCATCCAAAATATCCAAGGGCAATCTTGTAATTTCTCAAAAAATCCAAGGGTAAAAATGTCTTTTCCAAATTTGGGGGTAAAATGACAAAAATGCCCCTTGCCCATAAAACGTGCCCTTTAATAATCCTTAGGGGTATTTTGGTCACTTTCTCAATTTCTTGCCCAAGTCGAATTTTTCTGAAGGATTTGAGCACACCCAAAATTCGCACGTGTCCCCTGCAACGTCGTCCTAATGTTCCGTCGTGACTTCCTAATTTTCTGATGTCCAATTTGGGCTAAATTCAATAATTAAATTTTATTAAACGCAACTCGAGCGTTTCTCAAGCTAACGGGCGGCTTGCTGGGGAAATTCGCAGAATCGACTCATGACTGATACTGAATCGAGTCACGTGCAAGTTCGTTCGGTACGTGACGACCTCGGTTGTCATTAAAATCGCGAAGATCAATCACTTGATCCGAGGGGTACGATCGTTCGGTATAGGTTCAGGATTATTCGTCAAGTCGTTTCGTGGTCCAGCGGAATCACCCGCGATCCACTACTATGACAGTGGCGAACCGATCCCTAACTATCCTTGGATCGGCCAACAATGGCTCAAAATATCACTTCCGCGATTTAATGGTCGAAATCCATTCACGATCGAATTTTCTTTAGTCGTGCGAATTTGATTTCCCCTATTAGCCTTTCCCTAATGGTTAGCATCCCACAAATGATTAGTTCCGGGCGAGAACTGACTACGAGTACATTCATAAAAATCAAGTATTTCATAAATCCCAAATGGACTAATTTTTTAGGATGTCACAATGTCGGCCATTTAGATTACTAACACATTTGAATTTTTTCCTAAAGAATCTCTCGTTAAAATGTCAACAATGCGTATTTTTTCAATGGATAGCTCATATTACCAAAATAGAGATAGACCTAATAGTAAAGTTCTCCATCTATACCAAAGCATTACTTCTCAAGCTTGTAAATAATCGCTCATCGAAGCCGAACTTGAGAGCCATGCTTAGCAACCGAGCTCTCTCTACCTCCAACCCCCAATCCTCCATGGAAGTTCAACCTGTTCAAGCAATTCGATTGATTGATGATGCACGAGTTGGAATCGAATCAATCACTAGTCTCCAGAGCGCGCGCTTGAAGTGCTCTTTTTGAAAAACCTTCCTAGCGAAGAGAAAATATTGGGTATCACTCTGCCAACTCAGCAAAATTCTAGTCCATTCACTGGGCGACGCGTGTCGCTCGGAGTGCTTGAATTATTCTTGAACTTGGTAGATAAGGAATATGGGTAAAGGCTTCTTCGCATACATAAGACTATGAGAAGTATCTCAAAATTTCTTTTATCTGTTGCCGTGTATCAGCAAAAGAAAATATTGACAAAGTAATATAGTTTCTTAGTTACATTTTTACCTTTATATATATTAATATATTTTCAATGGAACGATTTACAGATTTTTGGAAAAATAGCATTTCCAACACTACTTTACTGTTTGGCAAAAAATAAAAAAAAAACTACCTTATTATGACCAAAACGTCCTAATCATGATGAATATTTCATTAGTCAAAGCTCTCTTTTATGGGATTGGTCCTGCATTCAACGTGGATCGTTGGATAAAAAGAGATTGATTTTCTGTCATCAATTCTGAACTTTAAAAGAAAGTTACGGATATAAACGGGATCAAATTATCAGTTAATTGAGAAAAGTTACTATGAGTAATGAAAATTATCAAGACATAGGTCTCAAAACTTTACAGAGTACAAAAGACTTACGATCAATTTACATATTTCAGTAAAAATACACAAAAGAAAATTACTATTAACTGAATAAATATTATTCTTTTGGAATTTTACCAAATTTTGATTCAGAGAATTTATGACCTCCAAAGAAAAAGCGCACCCTCCAAAGAAAACCTATGAAAGGATGTTCTACAGGTAAAATTATTATTAACGAGAACAATTACGTCGCCAAAGGACAGTTACGATTTATCGGGTAATTACTAACCATAAAAAAAGAAATTTACCCAAAACTTTGGCAGATTACTATATTTTACGGAATATTAGAAATCATATGACCTATAGAACTTACTATGACAACCTCAAAAGTAACAGATTTCTCAACAAATTTGGCAGTGAAATCACATAAGCTGATCGCCCAGCTATTACTTCATGTGAAGAATCACAAATGCTAAGCATAGACCACGACTATACAGATATTAAAAAGTAAAGAAAGAAAGCTATGACGTAATACTTTGACTAGAACAAATTCCTCCATATGTTCTTCGCAACTCAGAGCCACCTAAAGATTGGCAAGGATCGGTCAAACAATCGACAACAACTAGATGAGAAGGGAAAATGAGACCGGATCCTGTCTAATTAATGGTGATTCTTATTTGGTTTTTGTAAATTACCTACTAATTTTCTACACAGTAAGTTACCGCATACGTATCAATTTCGTGACTTTTCTTCACAAGTAGTCGAGTTGAGCCAGAGCAAATCAAATAAAGGAAAGAGCCAGAGCAAATCAAACAAAGGAATGCATCAGTTCATTTTACGGCATTCTTCTGTGGTGCTTGTTGCATCAATTTTTCTTTCTGGGTTTGCTTGTAATCTTCTCAAGGAGACTGAAAAGAGTGGAAGCGATACAAATGCAGAAAATAAGAGCACTAACGGAGCATCTACACACTCATTCATCTATCCAACACCAACGGGAGTGGGAAAGTGATCCTTATGATGTATTATTGAGCTTTAGAGGCTCAGGTTAAGTACTCACTAGGGGTGAGCAACTTGGACTGCCCAAACCGAGACAGGACCGGACCGACGGGTTTGGTCTAGTTCTCGGGACTATCGGTCCGGTTCCTGGTTCCTAAAAGCGGAACCCTTTTTCAGGCGGTCCGGTTCCCGGTTCCAAGGGGGAACCGGACCGGACCGGACCGACCTGATCGGACCAATTATTTAATATATATTTTTGTTATTTTTTTCTTTAAAAAAATTAATAAAATGTGAACTAAACTCTAAGTGAACTTTATTATCATGAATTCATTGATACAAATTAGTAAAATGTGAATTAAACCCTAAGTGAACTTCATTGACATAAATTCATTGAAAAAAATTAGTAAAATGTGAAACAAACCTTAAGTGTTTGACAAAAAAAAAACCCCAAACTCTAAGTAACCGGTTCCATTGGACCGGACCGGAACCGGACAGGACCGACGGTCCGGTCCGGTTCCCAATCCTAGAGCCAACCAATCCGGTCCGCGGTTCCCAAAATTAGGAACCGGTTCTCTCGGTCCGGTTCCTGATTCCACCTTGGAACCGAACTGGACCAGGAACCGCTTATCCCTAGTACACACAAGGTCCTTTCTTCACGTCTTCCTTCCATTTCCAAATCCGTTGTAACTCAATATGATTTATGAAATTCTGATCTTCAATAACCAAATAACAACCGAATTTATGCTTATATTTTTAAACGAATTGAATATGTTTGAAAACAGATTCTAATTCTTTTATAGCCTAATTAAGAAATTAATGTACACGTTAATCGTGAGTGAGTGGACCAAGCCGACAACTTTGACTTGACTGGAGGGTGAGGTCTCAAAGAAGATAAAGGCGAGGACTAAAAGCATCTGCAACTGCTCCTCGTGCCTCAATTACTAATTAATTAAATCCCATCACAATAAAGGGTAATCGTCGAATGGTTTGTATGATTGCATGAGACCCTTTTAAAAAAGAGGGCACCCACCATTCTTGACTTTTAGTGGCACGCGATTTTGGGTTTATTCATTTCCTTTTTGTGTGTTTATTACTATATTTGACAATTGCAGTTGAAATCTATCATTAGTTGTGAATAACAACAATGTCCCTCCAGTCTTCCACTAATTTAGTTTGGTTAAAATTCTTCTTCCACAAATCAATTTTAAAGATTAAATTAAAATGCACTATTGTTGACGATTCTAACCATGATATGGTCCCCAATGTATTATTTCGTTTCTAGAACCCATCATGAACTTCGTGGGAGGAAGATGACCTTCTTTCATTCTAAAATAGTTTAATGTGCAGGAAATTTCTAGGAGGACCTTATCTCGGTGGATTGGATTAGAGAAACTCGTTATTAAGTGTGGTTTCCATGTGATTTAATGGTGAAAAATTATAAAAAAAAGTCTTAAACCTATTACACTTATGTCAATTTAGTCTTAAACCTTTTAATTTGATCAATTTAGTCCTCAATTTTTTGATAACATGCCAATGTAGCTTATCGGGCCAATTTTGACAAAAAATTGCTGACGTGGACGATGGACGTTCTAATTCCTTACATCTTCAAGTGTACGGAGAAGGTTTGGCTGAATTGACCCAAATTGATGTCGTCATCTGGACGTTGAGCTAATTGATATCGTGAGAAAGATCATGTTTGGAAAATTGAAAATGATAGGACCCCTATGAGTTTCACATAAGTCCCACTAGATCTAGCAATATGTAATGAGAAGGAAACGAATAACGTGTCACTCGATTATTCATCAAAGCAATAGGCAAGTGAAGAAAAAGCTCATGCAGTTGTTGCACCACAAATAGTGGACTCCATGTGCCGGTGTACCACACTCAAGCATGGGGCCAACTAAGAAGGAGCCGCATGAAAGCAAATGAAAAATCATTACTAATTTCTCTTTTTCGATTAACATAAATTGCATATTGACATGATTGAGACTCATTAAAATATATATTGAATTAGATTTTATTACTTTAAATTCATAACAACTTGTTCTTTAAAATTTAGCTAATCCATATATGATTGAGGTCACTAAATATGAGTGAAAAAGTAGATTTTTGACCATTTTAACGCCTCTAGTGGTGAGAGGCTTTCATTTCAACTGGAAGGGAAAGCAAAATGTTGTACATCTTCACTTCGATTTGTGCGGCCATGTGATCACATTACAAAGAGACCTAACAAAAGGTGAGGGTTAGCCGGTCAAAGAGGTAAATTTCCTTACCAAAGGCGCAAATCCACGGTAGGATTGTGTGTATCCCACGTGCATCCAGCTCATATTTTGAGGCACGAGAAGAAATAATTCCCAATATGAACACCTTGCAAAAGTTGCCAAGTAAAGTCTACAGGGGGGGTCGTCTTGCCAATTTCGAGGAAGGGATTGTTTTGATGGTCTTGGTCAAAAAGTTCAGAATCAAAAGAAGTACGCTTGCCTCGTCTAAGAAATGCCATCCGCCACCACAAGATTTGCGCGTCTCCTTTGGGGCAAGAGAAGAAGTAAAGCTCTATTTAAAGTCGCAAGTGCTTGTGCTTGTGCTTGAAGAGGAGAAACGCCAATCACCACAAATCACTGAGAGATCGTTTTTGTTCCGAGATATATCTGGTTTTGATAGCTCCGAGCTGAGGCGTGAAGGTGATATCCTTGGATTGCACCGTCTTTCGGGACTCAGACACAACTTGATCTGCTTCAAGACAACTTCTTCTCAAACACTGAAATCCATCGCAGTAATTTCATCTCTGAATCGCTCCTCGAGGTAAGCCCGACCTTCATTCTCCAGTCTATTGCCATTGATAGGACAAAAATATATTTGATTATTACTCATCGCATAATACCTAACATCCTTTAAGGCATTCAGAATATTACATGTGATATTCCCTCGATTTTTTCAAAATCATCACCACATATATTGCTATTTTTTCTTACTACAATCTTCTCGTTTAAACTAATCGGTTATGAATGGTTAGACTGGTTGAATTTGGTGGAATCACTTGCTAGCCCTTGTCCCGTTGTTTTAAAAGCATTAATGGTTGACTGAACTCTCTTATGACAAAAAGCCTATTCAATTAAAATTATGAAAATACCCTTCTAGACCCGATTTTGGGTCCATCGGCCCTACACGTACCCCAATTCTCCAAAATTACTTAAACCTAAAACATCCAAAATACTAGTGTTTTGCATAAATTCTTTTTTTTTCTTGAAAACAGTTAAAAATCAGATTTTTCGAAATATCGATCATGCTGGTCTATTCTCTTCAATAATCGCACAAAACCTTTCAAAAGTTGCGGATTAGAATTGTCAACAACAAAAATTTATCCGAACAGATCTGATTGATTAGAGAATTTTTGGATATTCATAAAAACATTGTCCATTATATTGGCAATTTTCGTAATTTCTGGAAAATGACAGAAAATTCAGATATTTTTCCTGAAATTATGAAAAATTCACAATTTTGCTGTTTTTTTTTTTGCGCCGGTTACAATGGACAACTTGAAAGTGAGCAAAGCTGTTGGTTTCAATGCATTTACACATTTAATATGTGGACAATTTTTAGGTGAACTTTATTTTTGCGGATTGAATTAGAAAAACTCGTCATAAAGTGTGGTTTTCACGCGATTTTACTGCTTACAGCAAAGACATGACTTTTACATGTATATATAGCGTGGAAAGTTATCGACCTACGATGGATTAGACAATACGATTTATGCATGTTTAGTGCAAGGGAGGAGAATTTAGCATTTACGGGAAGGTAAGAACTTCTTTGACAAGGATATAATGGAAGATTTACAAGCCGGTTAGAGCCACATTTATCTGTTTAACAAAATGGTTTTCAAGTGGGGATATGAACAGAAGTGGTCATTCCGTACTCTGGTCCACACTATGTGGCTTGACTTTGGCTTGCCATTTGAAAACACTTCAATTACTACTGATTGGTCCTCTTTCAAGTGGGGATATGAACAGAAGTGGTCATTCCGTACTCTGGTCCACACTGTGTGGCTTGACTTGGCTTGCCACCTGAAAACACTTCAATTACTACTGATTGGTCCTCTCTCTCAGTGACATTTCGAATTTTGGCCCATTTTTGGGATTTATAAAACGGATATTTCGTCAGTGCGCTTATAGTAAAAATCTCGCCCGGGAACTGATCACTCCCGATTATTATTTTTAAATCTTGAGATTTCGCTAGAATCGCATTCGATCGAATTTGGCCGTTATTTAGACCTCGAACTTGGCAGTCGATTTTCGGGAGTTTCAGGATGAAATAAATTGGACGGTGTCAATATTATCGTAGCCAGCGTTGAGATTGTCAGGAATAATGGAAAAATGGGAGTTTTTGACCGGGTGCGAATTTGGACTAGTAGACCTCCCTCGCTATAGTTTGATTTAATTAATTCGGCCTTTGTCCCTTTTTATATGCGAGGCTTATTTTGGACCGGTAGATCGCTTTCGGTTTTGAATTTGGGTCATCGGATCGCATTTAATATTTGAATCGTGACCGTTAAATCGATTTTTAGTTTAAACCGTGTCCGTTGGATCGCGCTCGACGATAAAAAAAAAATCTACTTTTGTTCTCTCTTACTCTCTCTCCTCTCTCCTCTGACATGCCCACGCCGCGCACGCTCTCTCTCTCTCTCCTCATTGCGTCTACCCTTCCCTCTTCTCTTTCTCTCTCTCCCTCCTTCTCTCTCCTTCTTTCTCCCTCTCTTTTCCCCCTCCGTCGCGCACGTCTTCCCTGTGCAGACGTCCCTCCCCCACGCCCATGCGACCCACCCCCCGACACTCTCTCTCTCTCTCTCTCTCTCTCCTCTTTCCTTCTTTTCCCTTTTCTTTCTTCTTCTTCTTTTTCTCCTTCTTCCTTCGCCCGACTGGTCCTGCTCGTGCGTCTGCTCGCCCGACCTCCCCTCCGCCTCCGCTAGACGCCGTCCCACCTGACACGCAGGCGCCGCCGTCCTCCTTGCGCCGCCAGGTGTCGCCCGGGAACGCCGCCCGAAGCCTGCCCTCCTTCTCCTCCCCGAGTGCGCGAGCTCGGCTCGTCGTCGCGCACATCTGCACGGTCCGGCGTTGCCCGGCTGGCTCGTCCCGTTCCGTTCCACCGCTTGTGACGTCGCCAGCCCAGCTCTCGCCGTCAAATCGCGCCGTTAAATCGCCCACCAACTGACCGGGCTGTTATTCCTCTCACATCGAGGCGAAGCTGACTACCGTCATTTGCGTCTATTGCGACCGAACCCCGCCACGTGGCCGACCCAGGTCATCATTGCCAGCTCCCATTGCCGGCAAACGCTCGAGTGTCGCTGTCGTCACCTCTGAGCGTCCGGCCGCACCAAACGCCTCAGCCAACTTCTTCTTCTCCCCGTTGGCTTTCCGACGTTCGTCGCCGCCGCTCCGCCGTGCAGCTAGCCGACCGTCGCCGCCGCCGCCGCACGACCCGCCGCCACGCCCGATCGCCGCCGCCATCGCTGCCGCTGTCGCCGCCCGACCAGCCTGGCCTAGCCCGGCCGACCAGCTCGGATCGTGACCAAGCCGCGTGCCCACGCCCGCGCCCGTTGCCCACGCCCGCGCCCGGCCGCCGCGCTCGCCGCCCGCGCTCGCGCCCGTGGCCGAGCCCGTGACCGAGCCCGTGACCGAGCCTTGTGCCGTGACCGAGCCCGTGACCGAGCCTTGTGCCCGTGGGCCGAGTGGCGTGCCCATGGCCGAGCGCCGTGGCCGAGCCCCGCGCCCGTCGCGCCCTCGCCCGCGCCGAGTGAGACACTGTTCACTCGGGCCATTTTAGGCCCGAGCCGACTTTTCCCGGGCCAAAATCTAGTAAGTGGCTTCCTAAACCCTACCTAGTATTTTGGGTACTTTATTGACTTGTCTCGGGTTAGAACGGCTAGGGCGTGTTTTAATTTAATTATATCATGTTACAATTGCGCTATTTAAATTGGATTAAATGATATGCTTGACTCGGGTAATGGTGTGTGGCCGACTTGAACGTCGGGTTTGTGGACTGAGGTGGCGAATTGTGAATTGGACTGAGTTGTGAGTATGGGTTGTTTGATGCAATTGGCATGAAATTGATTTAATTGATTGGCGTGTGCTTGCCTGTCGATTTTAAGCCCGGATTGATCGGAGGGCTACGGACTTGGGACGTGTTGACGGCGGTCCGTGTGAAGGCATGAATGGCCGATGTGCCAAATGGATTCGGGCTTGAGACGTGTTGACGGTGGCCCGTTAAAGGTGTGTTGGACCGGGACGTGTTTACGTCGGTCATTGGAATTTGAGCCCGGATTGATCGGAGGGCTACGGACTTGGGACGTGTTGACGGCGGCCACTGGAATTGATTGAATGGTATGGCTTGGGACGTGTTGACGGCGGCCATTGGAATTGATCGAATTGTGAGGCTTGTGTGCTCGTGAGAATGAATTTGAGGCGCGATGGCGCGAGTTGTGAGAAAGATGTTCGGACACGCATGTGATTTGAGCGTGTGGACCGAATTGGGTGGTTGAGCGTGTGGACCGAATTGGTGGTTGAGCGTGTGACCGATTTGGCTGGTTGAGCGTGTGATTTAATTGACCAGTTGAACGTGTGGTTGCTTGGTCGGGCTGGTTAAATGCGAGTGAGATTGCGTGTGCTGGTGACCGTGATATGATGATGAACTGTTCTTGCATTGTCATGTTTGGACTAATATGCAGGGTTGGCTCGTGATTCGAGGGCAAGGTAAGTATAATGATGTGAACTCTATATGTTATGGGGTAGTTTGCATGTACGACTTGTCCGGGTACGCATTGGCCTACGTGGGGTATAGGGGTTGCTTATTGAGACTCGTTCTCACGGTTATTATATAACCATTTCGGATCCGCGACCGTGAGTGATGGGAGACGCTGCAAGGGTATCTCGGAGATCGAGGACGGGTCGAGTGTCCCGTATTTTGAGTTTCCCCTTTTGTAGACGAGTTAAGTTCGCGAACCATTGTCCCTTTTGATGAGCATTGTATGTATTTGCCAAGTGTAGGAATTACAGTTATTGTTTTGTGCTATTGTTACCCCTTGTCATTATTAATTGTCCGGGTTGTTTCTATTTGCTTCCGCGCGTGCCTAATCTCTGACGTTTGGGTTGGGTCGGCGACGCGTCCTGGGACGTCGCGTTCAATGATCGACCATCGCGGGATAATCGCGCGCTCGTAGGGTGCGGGGCGTGACATCCCCGTTGATTTGGTATCAGAGCAAGTTCAGTTCGAACCAAGATGGTCGAAGCTTGGAGTGATAAGGAGCGATGACTTAGGGGTAGCCAGTTAGGGAGATTTGTTGGCCATGCGTTACCCCAGACTGTTTGATTGTGATTGCTGAGTGATGTTATGCAATAACGTGTGAAATGCAGGCGCGTCAGGACTTGAGGTAAGTGCACGAACCCTATTGGTTGTGATTGGGTGTTGTTTGTGATTGACTATCTGCTAAGTGAATTGTGGTGATTCACTGCCTAGGGCTTGGGATTGGTATAGTTGGCCTAGGTTTTTAATTCCCGAGGGGAATTATAGCGGGTAAGTGGATGTTGTGAACCCTTGAACCCCAGTGAGGTTGAGTAGTCGAGGTAGAGGTCGAGGTTGAGGTCGTGTAGGTCCGCTAAGTTGGAGTTGCAGAGGATCCCAGATGGGATGAGATTTTGAGGGCACTCGAGGAAGTTAGAATTTTAATGGGAAGGCAAACTGAGGAGCGAAATGCTACTGTTGCTACTAATGTTGAGGCCGCTGTTGTCGCCGCCAATGGAAATAACGGGAATCATGGGCATAATAGAAATGTTGGGAATCAAGGTCAAGGGCAAGTTAATGCAATCAGATAGATGCGTCAGCTGGTTGGAAAATATTTGAAATTGAAACCTCTGAAGTTCGATGGTAAATGTGACCCTGAGGCTACATTGCTTTTGAGGTATTCGGGTGCACTGGTGAGGAGAAAGTGACCCTGGCTGTATATCAATTCCAAGGAAACGCAAGTGATTGGTAAGAGAACCCCCAAAGTAGGATAGTTCGAAGGGCATAATCCTAAACTGGGGTGTCGTTGTTGAGGCCTTCAATGAGAAGTACATTGAGAGAGTGCGCGAGGACAGAAAATGACCTAGTTTCTCCGGCTTCGCTAAAATCGGATGTCGGTCGATCAGTACGAGATCGAGTTTGTAAGGTTGCCTATGTACGCACCAAGGATGGTCAAGGACCATGTGGATATGACAAGGAGGTTTCGGGATGGATTGGAACCGGAATTCCGCAATCAGTTAGTACTTTTGAGTCTTAAGGGATTACAATGAGTTGTATGAGAGAGCTCGATGGTTGACACGGATATGAGTGAAAAGGCTGCCGTTTCTGGATCGTGGTATGTGCCGGTTAGGGACAATTGGAACTTGGGAAGAAGTCTATGACAGAGAATTGGAGATTTGTCCCTCTAGTAAGAAAGAACTTTGGGAAGCCGAATTACTACTCCAACGCCGCATGTCTGTCTTATAGAAAGAGGCATAGAAATGGCCATTGCCAAGGTAGAAGTGGAGCATGTTGTGGATGTGGACAGTAAGGTCACCAAGTGAGAAATTGTTAAATCGACAGGGTAGGTCACTAATGCAATCGCATCGATCGCAGGTAGGACATTAAGCGAGAACTGCCTCGCAGATTAATCAGAATCGGCTAAGGACGTAAGGAAAAGTGTATGTTGTGGCTGAGAAGGAAGTGAAGGATGTGCCATGAAAGTCTAGATGCGTTATGAGATGGTATTGTGTACAATAGGAGATGATTTTGAAGTTATCGCTTGAGTGGTCATGTAAGACTTATAATCAATTTTATGGTGAATAGGCGCGATCGGTTTAAGGATTTTATGGATTACTGATGATATTCTTGGACGGGTTTGGAAGGATGAGTATTGCTTGGAAATTTCAGATTTTTGTAAAGAACCGATGTGATTTGTTTTGGGAGACTGTGGGATTGAAATTGGATGGATTGAGCTTGTCTTTGAGGTGTATAAAGATAATTAAATTGTGGCTGATTAGTTGGTTGAGGAATCAAGGCTAAAGGGACATAGCCGAGGTGTGTAATCTTCTCGATGTCTTTCCTTAGGAAATTGCCGGGATTGCCACCTAATAGGAGAGTCGAGGTTGTGGTTGAGTTGGCCCCAGGGACAAAACCGACTTTGGGAGTACTCTACAAGATGTCACTGTCGGAATTGAAGTAATCGAAAAACCAAATGCGGGAGTTATTGGATGAAGGTTTTATTCGTCTGTGTAAGTCTCCATGGGGAGCGCCAGTTTTATTCGTGATGAAGAAGGACAGATCGTTAAGGTTATGTAGTGACTACAAACAGTTGAATCAGGTGACTATTAAGGATAAACGCCTGTTGCCAAGGGTAAATGACCTGTTCGACCAGTTATAAGGGACATCAATATTTTCTAAGATTGATTTGAGGACTGGCTATCACCAATTGAGGATCAAGAAGGAGGACGTGCCGAAGTCGGCATTTAGGACGAGGTATGGACGCTATGAGTTTACGGTGATGCCGTTTGGACTGACGAATGCCCCTGCAGCCTTTATGGATTTAATGAATCGGGTATTTAAGGAATTTCTGGATTAGTTTGTAATCGTGTTCATAGACGATATCTTGGTATACTCGCAGAGTCCCGCTAAGCATAAGTTACATTTGGAAAAGAGATCTATGGACTTTAAGGGAACACGCACTCTATTCTAAGTTTAATAAGTGCGAATTCTGGCTTCATTGAGTGGCGTTCTTAGGACATGCGATACTGGGGAAGGGATTGTAGTGGATTCGACAAAGATTGAAGCCGTCACGAATTGGCCGAGGCCGACGTCAGTAACCGAGGTTCGGAGCTTCTTGGGTCTAGCAGGCTATTATAGGCGCTTCATGGAAGGGTTTTCGGCACTAGCTACGCCGTTGGCACGGTTGTTAAAGAAGGAAACGAGGTTTGAATAGACGGATGAGTGCGAAAGGTGCTTCCAAGAATTGAAACAGAGGTTGACGACCGCGCCAGTGTTAGCGATCTCGTCAAGTCCGGGAGGAATTGAGAATCACAGTGACGCGTCGTTAGGAGGATTGGGATGCGTGCTAATGCAACATGGAAAAGTAGTGGCATACGCATCGCGGCAATTAAGGCCACATGAGCAAAATTATCCGATGCATGACTTGGAGTTAGCCGCGATTATTTTCGCTCTTAAGATTTGGAGACACTACCTGTGTGGGGAGAAATTTCAGATTTATACGGACCATCAAAGTTTAAGGTACTTGTTCTCCCAAAAGGAATTAAACATGAGACAGCGCCGTTGGATGGAACTCCTTAAGGACTACGACTGCGAGATTATGTATCACCCTGGAAAAGCTAATAAGGTAGCGGATGCACTGAGCCGGAAATCAAGCATTGCGCATATGATGGTCAAGGAGTGGATTCTGTTGGAGGGAGTTCGAGATTTGGAATTTAAGTTTGAAGTGAGTCATGTCTCGAGTCTACTTGCAGCATTGAGGATTGAACCAGAAATACAGACTAAGATTAAGGCTTTACAATCGACGGACCCAGATATTCAAAAGATTTTGAGTATGGATGCCACAAAAAGGAAATCGGATTTTCAGGTATCCGAGGATGGGATTCTAAAGTTCCGTGGACGGTTATGTGTACCCAGTGATACAGAACTGAAGGAAGAGATTTTGTCTGAAGCACACCGTAGTACGTACAGTATTCACCCGGGGAGTACAAAAATGTATCAGAATTTACGGCAGCATTATTGGTGGAACGGCATGAAAGTGGATGTAGCCAAGCACGTGACCGAGTATCTAACATGCCAACAAGTGAAGGCACGGCATTGTAAGCCGGGTGGATTGTTGCAGTCATTGGAAATCACCGAATAGAAATGAGAGCATAACGCGATGGACTTTGTTATGAAACTACCAAGAAGCCAAAGGGGCCATGATTCAATTTGGGTTATAGTAGATCGGCTGATAAGATCAGCACATTTTCTGGCAATGCGAAAGGACTTCGCGTTAGGAAGGTACGCAAGATGGTGCGTGCAACAGATAGTTCGTCTTCATGGAGTACTAGTGACGATCACTTCAGACCGTGATCCTAAGTTTACTGCCGCTTATTGGAAAAGTCTTCATACGGCATTAGGAACAAGGTTACAGTTTAGCACGGCCTATTAGTCGCAGACGAATGGCTAGTCTGAGAGGACGATTCAGACTTTGGAAGATATGCTACGACCATGTGCATTGGATTTTAGGGGAAGTTGGAAAGAATAATTGCCCTTGGTTGAGTTTGCCTATAACAATAGCTATCAGCAGAGTTTTAGAATGGCACCGTTTGGGGCATGGTATGGCAGGGTTTGCAGAACACCGGTTTGTTGGGATGAGTGGGTGAGAGGAGCATCACGGGTCCCAAGTTGGTTCAGCAGTCAATTGAAACAGTCAGGGTGATTTGGGAACACCATGGAACCAAAGATGCGATGTGGGAAAGTGAAGAGTTGATGCGACACCAGTACCCTCATTTGTTTGAATAGTTGGGTTGAATTGTAAATTTCGAGGACGAAATTTTTGTAAGGGGGGAAGAGTTGTGACATTCCGAATTTTGGCCCATTTTTGGGATTTATAAAACGGGTATTTCGTCAGTGCGCTTATAGTAAAAATCTCGCCCGGGAACTGATCACTCCCGGTTATTATTTTTAAATCTTGAGATTTCGCTAGAATCGCATTCGATCGAATTTGGCCGTTATTTAGACCTCGAACTTGGCAGTCGATTTTCGGGAGTTTTCAGGATGAAATAAATTGGACGGTGTCAATATTATCGTAGCCAGCGTTGAGATTGTCAGGAATAATGGAAAAATGGGAGTTTTTGACCGGGTGCGAATTTGGACTAGTAGACCTCCCTCGCTATAGTTTGATTTAATTAATTCGGCCTTTGTCCCTTTTTATATGCGAGGCTTATTTTGGACCGGTAGATCGCTTTCGGTTTTGAATTTGGGTCATCGGATCGCATTTAATATTTGAATCGTGACCGTTAAATCGATTTTTAGTTTAAACCGTGTCCGTTGGATCGCGCTCGACGATAAAAAAAAAATCTACTTTTGTTCTCTCTTACTCTCTCTCCTCTCTCCTCTGACATGCCCACGCCGCGCACGCTCTCTCTCTCTCCTCATTGCGTCTACCCTTCCCTCTTCTCTTTCTCTCTCCCTCCTTCTCTCTCCTTCTTTCTCCCTCTCTTTTCCCCCTCCGCCGCGCACGTCTTCCCCCAGCAGACGTCCCTCGCCCCACGCCCATGCAGCACCCACCCCCGACACTCTCTCTCTCTCTCTCTCTCTCTCTCTCTCTCTTCTTTTTTCTTTTCTTTCTTCTTCTTCTTTTTTCTCCTTCTTCCTTCGCCCGACTGGTCCTGCTCGTGCGTCTGCTCGCCCGACCTCCCCTCCGCCTCCGCTAGACGCCGTCCCACCAGACACCGACGCTGCCGTCCTCCTTGCGCCGCCGTGTCGCCCGGGAACGCCGCCCCGACGCTGCCTCCTTCTCCTCCCGAGTGCGCGAGCTCAGCTCGTCGTCGCGCCTGTCACGGTCCGGCGTTGCCCAGCCGGCTCGTCCCGTTCCGTTCCACCGCTTGTGACGCCGCGCCCGGGCCCCGCCGTCGCCGCTGTTTGTCGCCCACCGCCCCGACCGGGCTGTTCTCTTCCTCCTCCTCTGCGCGAGCCGCAGCTTGTCGCCGCTGGCCTCGTCGCGATCGAACCCCGCCGGCCGCGGCCAGTCATCCGGCCAGCCTCCCCTGCCGCCCCGACGCCTGAGTGTCGCTGTCGTCACCGCCGAGCGTCCCCCAGCCGCACCAAACGCCTCAGCCAACTTCTTCTTCTCCCCGTTGGCTTTCCGACGTTCGTCGCCGCCGCTCCGCCGTGCAGCTAGCCGACCGTCGCCGCCGCCGCCGCACGCTGCCGCCACGCCCGACCGTCGCCGCCGCGTCACCGCCGCCCGGCTGTCGCCGCCCGACCAGCCCGGCCTAGCCCCGCCGACCCGGCTCGGATCGTGACCAAGCCGCGTGCCCACGCCCCGCGCCCGTTGCCCACGCCCGCGCCGCGGCCGCGCCGGCCGCCCGCGCCCGCGCCCGTGGCCGAGCTCCGTGACCGAGCCTTGTGCCCGTGACCGAGCCCGTGACCGAGCCTTGTGCCCGTGGCCGAGGGCTGTGCCCATGGCCGAGCGCCGTGGCCGAGCCCCGCGCCCGTCGCGCCCTCGCCCGCGCCGAGTGAGACACTATTCACTCGGGCCATTTTAGGCCCGAGCCGACTTTTCCCGGGCCAAAATCTAGTAAGTGGCTTCCTAAACCCTACCTAGTATTTTGGGTACTTTATTGACTTGTCTCGGGTTAGAACGGCTAGGGCGTGTTTTAATTTAATTATATCATGTTACAATTGCGCTATTTAAATTGGATTAAATGATATGCTTGACTCGGGTAATGGTGTGTGGCCGACTTGAACGTCGGGTTTGTGGACTGAGGTGGCGAATTGTGAATTGGACTGAGTTGTGAGTATGGGTTGTTTGATGCAATTGGCATGAAATTGATTTAATTGATTGGCGTGTGCTTGCCTGTCGATTTTAAGCCCGGATTGATCGGAGGGCTACGGACTTGGGACGTGTTGACGGCGGTCCGTGTGAAGGCATGAATGGCCGATGTGCCAAATGGATTCGGGCTTGAGACGTGTTGACGGTGGCCCGTTAAAGGTGTGTTGGACCGGGACGTGTTTACGTCGGTCATTGGAATTTGAGCCCGGATTGATCGGAGGGCTACGGACTTGGGACGTGTTGACGGCGGTCCGTGAAAGGAAAGTGTGGCTTGGGACGTGTTGACGGCGGCCACTGGAATTGATTGAATGGTATGGCTTGGGACGTGTTGACGGCGGCCATTGGAATTGATCGAATTGTGAGGCTTGTGTGCCTGTGAGAATGAATTTGAGGCGCAGTGGCGCGAGTTGTGAGAAAGATGTTCGGACACGCATGTGATTTGAGCGTGTGACTGAATTGGCTGGTTGAGCGTGTGACTGAATTGGCTGGTTGAGCGTGTGACTGATTTGGCTGGTTGAGCGTGTGATTTAATTGACCAGTTGAACGTGTGGTTGCTTGGCTGGGCTGGTTAAATGCGAGTGAGATTGCGTGTGCCGGGTGACCGTGATATGATGATGAACTGTTCTTGCATTGTCATGTTTGGACTAATATGCAGGGTTGGCTCGTGATTCGAGGGCAAGGTAAGTATAATGATGTGAACTCTATATGTTATGGGGTAGTTTGCATGTACGACTTGTCTGGGTACGCATTGGCCTACGTGGGGTATAGGGGGTTGCTTATTGAGACTCGTTCTCACGGTTATTATATAACCATTTCAGATCCGCGACCGTGAGTGATGGGAGACGCTGCAAGGGTATCTCGGAGATCGAGGACGGGTCGAGTGTCCCGTATTTTGAGTTTCCCCTTTTGTAGAGGAGTTAAGTTCGCGAACCATTGTCCCTTTTGATGAGCATTGTATGTATTTGCCAAGTGTAGGAATTACAGTTATTGTTTTGTGCTATTGTTACCCCTTGTCATTATTAATTGTCCGGGTTGTTTCTATTTGCTTCCGCGCGTGCCTAATCTCTGACGTTTGGGTTGGGTCGGCGACGCGTCCTGGGACGTCGCGTTCAATGATCGACCATCGCGGGATAATCGCGCGCTCGTAGGGTGCGGGGCGTGACACACTCTCTCTCTCTCTCTCTCTCTCTCTCTCTCTCTCTCTCTCTCTCTCTCTCTCATTTCTCACTTTATCTTTCGCATTCGGCCTCTCTCTTGCAGAACAATTCGAGACTATCGTCTACTCTGATTAGTCCTCACTCGCTTTCTCTGTTCTTTGCCCTCTTGAAAGTTCTCGCCCAGGCCTGTTCAGGGTCTCCTCTCCCCGATCTCACGCCTCTCTTCGCATCTCAGCTCGTGGAAGGTAATCGCTTTTCCATCTCTTATTAGCGTGTCGTTTCTGTGTAGATTCTGTCGCTTTGGTTATTGGAAAAATCGGCTGAACTAAGTGTGTTTCTGGGGCCCTTTTTGTCTATTGGGGATGTGGGGGTGGCTGCTGAATATACCAGAGGAGGGTGTTCTATTCTCTCCTTTGGAGTCAGCTGTTGTTACCGGTTAACGAGGTATGTCCCTGGCTCAGATTTGACTTCGATGAAAAATAGGAAAGCCTTTGTTTTCGACTTTAGATGTGGCTAATCCTATGATGGCCTTCGCTGTTTGATTGTTAGTTGCATTGTAATTCGGTATTGATCTTTTGTTGAACTAGAATGAGTAGGTCTGCAAGCGCGCTAGACTCTCGTGCGCGAAATTGCCAAATTTCGCTTGAATCTGGAGACCATTTTTGTTTATGCGTTGTGAGGTTTCTCTATGTTTGAAGGTCCTAGTTCAATTTATAGAAAAATAAATCAGAAAAATAAAAGTAGGTTGGTTCCAGGGTCAATTAGTTTGGTTCTCGGTTACAAAAACAGAGAACTGATTATTACGGAATATGTTCCTGATTCTTTAGGTTAGAACCTACTCATCTCGAAACCGATTATCCTAAGAGTAAGTCTTCACTTAAGGAGATTTCATTTGACAATTTTTCCTCCCTATATAACATATCAAATGAGTAATATTCTATTTTCCTCAAATTGTTGGACCATTAATCCTAGAAAGTATATTCCCTTTCACCTTTAACTCATTTTCTCCTTTCAAAGATTTAAAATTGACCGTGTCTTTACTTGAAAAAAAGAAAAACAAATGAGGAATAAAAAAAAGTACAGTGAATATTTGAGCAATTTAACTATATTGCTACTTTTTACCTGCTCTCAACTCATGATAGTTTCAATCATCACAATATAAAACATACCAAAATCCATAGTATGATACTTCTTAAAACTTTTTACATGATATCCAATAGTAAGCAAAAAACACTAGTTGATCTTATGACACACACATGAAAACAATCAAATCAATCAATCCATACGCGCATATTAGGAGATTCACCTAGCTTTATATCACTCATTTCTTACACCTCTTTTGTCACGAACAATAAATTCGTTCTTCAAAATGTGATTAATCAATTTAACCTGACTTATCACAAATTTAGCCGATAATCCTATTCTACTTCCATTTAATTGGATAAAAAATCTTTGTGATGATATTCTCAATCACTCAACGCCATTGTTTCAAACCTTGGTGGTCTCTGAATTTTCCTCAGCAGCTTCCTTCTACTTCCTTTCTTCTCTTCTTCCCGTTCTTCCATCGAATCAATACCTAATTTTTAATCATTCAGACTAACATGGAGAAAGGGCAAAATCAGAGCAAGGCAAACAAAGAGATGCACCGTTTCATTTCAGGTCGTTCCTCTGCGGTGCTTCTTGTGTCTCTGCGCTCGTATTCAATAATCTCAATAAGAAGAAAAAGAGTGCATAAAAAGAGAGCACTACGTTTGATGCCATCTAATAGATTATAGCTCTATTTTACAGACAAGATATCAATCAACTTTTTAGATTTGAAAATTTGAAACGAAAGGCTTGGTGATAACATACCAGTTCAAAATAAATTCATTTTACATGGAATTGCAGCATGTGGTGCCGGCGTGGAATAGATAAAAGATAAATAACCACGAGCATTTGTTTATCTCTACCTCACATTTCCAACTTCATTAAGAATATGACAATTTTAAACAAGAGTAAAATATAAAATCACATCCACAGTCACTAGCTCGGTCCTTTCTTGATGTCTTTCACACATTTCTAATTCCGTCTCAACTCAGTTATTATCTTTTGAATGATTTATCAAATTCTGATTTGCAATAACCAATTAAAAACTGAACTCATGCTTATATTTTGAAGTGAATGCAATATACTTTTACACAGGTTCTAGTTCTTCATAGCCCAATTGAAAAATTAATGTACATGTTACTCGTGAGTGAATCAAGCCAACAAGTTTGACTTGAATAGGGTGAGGTCCCAAAGAAAATAAGGCGAGGACTAAAAGCAGCTGCAACTGCTCCTAGTCAATCACTTACCAATTAATTAAAGATTTCATGTTCAAAAACTTGTTCGTAGAGATTGGTTCATCGATCCTTTTATTCAGCAGAAAAGCATCTTTCGTTCCAACTTTCACCCTCAAATTGCCATGCACAAAGGGCAGAGTAAGAGAAAGAGGAAAATTGATAACACTTCATTCCCTTTTTTACTTTTAATACGTGTTCATGAAGGTTTCTGTGTGTCATGAATTTATAATTCAAAAGTCTTTTGGACGCTACCTTTAAATATCACTGCTTCCTTCTAAAAGTAAACGCGTTGAACTGCCATTGCAAAACCCAAACAAGATGTGTTTAGTAAATGTGTTGAACTGCCACAATACGAACACAACACTTTTAATAAATTAGGTCAGATGACACAACACGACAAATGCGATTATTAAACGTGTCACCGTATGCAATGTCGACACGACATCATGCAATATGCTAACATGTATGCATGCAAAAAGATGCAACACATTGCATTACATCTAAAGCAAAGAGCCAAATTGCTTCCCATGATATTCTAATTACAAGTGAGACGCAGCCTTTGGTATTAATACTAATCCTATTTAAGAGCCATAAAATCTTATCACACAAAAAGCCCCAAATTTCGAACATGCTAAAGCCATAAATTTCAAAATCTAAAAATTAAGAACAAAAAAACAACCGGACCATGAAAGAAGAGAGGGAAAGTTAAAATTCCTCGAAATATGCTTGGATACATGTTGGGTGGAAATGATGTAAATGGAACTTAATTTCATTGATAGACTTAATTATCCTTCAATCTATTCATCCTTGAAAAGGAAGTAAGGCCAATTTTGGAAGAAAAGTGCAATTTTTGCATTTCCTCTCGTTTCGATGCACTTTTAGAAAGAAATGAAATGTGGGCTCAAAAGGAAGTATTTCCCTTTCATTTAGAATCATTGTCATCGACTTCCTTCATAATTCAAACAGCTGGGCAATTGAAAATTTTTCCTCCATTAATATTTTAGCTTTAGTTAATTTTACATATGAGTGATGCCTAAAACTTGAAACCCGCCAAATTAAAAACGTGATTGATGGAAATTTCCTCCAATTAGGAAAGTGCACGCATCTAGAGGATGAATGTTTTTGGGCAACAATTACATGACACTACATTAGCTTGGCCAATAGGAATGGGATTAGACAGAAGATGTTGTGAAAATGAGGCGGTGGAGATAGTTAGGGTTGTTTATATATGAGGCTAAAAATAATAAGAGTAAGGTCATAGATTATGATAAGGATTAGGCATCGTGTGAGCTTATATTCAAAGGAAGATGCTTCCATGGATTTCCTACATAATTTCAATATCTTAGGTGAGAACTGAAAGAATCCATCTTGAAATATCATAGACGTGCATGAAGTTACGTAGGTGTTTGAATGTGTTTTAAGGAAGTCGATTAATTACACTTCAATCTGTTTAATTTCAAGCATGTGTTTCTGAACAAGTAAATGATGTAGGCTTTATGGGGGCCTCTACAGGGCCACCTAATCTTCCATAGTGAAACGACGTCAACTGACTTAATTGAAGGCCGTGTCGTCATTACCTATACATATCTCAAGAACACGAACCTTCTTCAGCGTTGCCTAGGGGAGAAATTGACGTACACGCTATTCGGAGTGGACCAAGCCAACAGGCATTTGCAGAAAAGCATCCTAAAAGCATTTTCATTATTCATCAATCCTTTTAAGCAGCAGAAAAGCATCTTTCGTTTCAACTTTCCCCCTCAGATTGCCATGGACAAAGGGCAGTGTCAAAGAAAGAGAGCAGAGGAAGAGAGCATTGAGGGAGCATCCACTTCTTCGTTCATCTCTCCGGTACCCACAGATGTAGGTAGCGGTCAATATGATGTGTTCTTGAGCTTTAGAGGCTCGGATACCCGCAAGGCATTCACCGATTGCCTCTATCACAGTTTGGTAGAGGCAGGGACTGTACCCATTTGCGTGTTCAAGGACGATAACAGCATACCAGTTGGTGAGGAATTTGGTTCAAAGATTCTGGATGCCATCACATGGTCTAAGATTTCGATCCCCGTCATCTCTGAAAATTATGCTTCAAGCAAATGGTGCCTCCACGAGCTCATTCATATCATGGACCGCAAGAAGAGCACGTCACACATAGTCTTGCCCATTTTTTACAAAGTTGCCCCATCGGATGTGCGGCATCTAACAGGACATTTTGGAGACGCCTTTTGCTTGAGTCAGGAGAGTCTCGATGAAGAGGATATCCAGGAAGGGCAACAAGCACTTAAGGAAGTCAGTTACTTAAATGGATGGGAATCTGAAAAAATTGCCAATGGGTACTTCACTAAACTTTTCTTTTTTTGTTTAGTATGTTTTCTTCTTCATGCAGAACCAATGAAATGCAGATGAATTACTTTCACTGCAAGCTCCCAATAAACAACCATAATGCCTCGAAGACAACAAACACTAGTACTCCCCAAGATGTCCCTGAAAACTAAACCAACGAGAACTAAAACCAAAGCATCCCATAGTGCCCAAGAATTTTACATTTGCCTCCGGCACAGAGCAAAAAACAAAAAAACGACATTGTCTTTAACCAATAGTATCAATCACTAAACAATAGGCCAACAAAGGACTCCGATGCTCGGTCTTCCAAAACTTGATCACCAAGAGATAAAGTTGACCTCCTATAGCCAACAAGGGTTAGCTCCGTTGATAAGGCTCTAATACTTTGCATTGACTATGCCTAGGTTCAAAATCTCTCATTGTTTTTGTTGTTTGACAGGCATGAGGGAGAATTAATAGCACGTGTGGTCGAAACTGTTCTAAGTGAGTTACGGGGAGATTTTCAGCTAGATGTGCCTAAGCAACTAGTGGGACTTGATGGTCATCTGAAGAAAATTATGAATTGGATAGACAGTCCTTCCATCAATGCTCGAATGATTGGAATTTATGGCATGGGCGGGATAGGCAAGACAACTCTTGCCAAGCGTATCTACAATGAACTCTTGAATAAATTTGTGCATGTAAGTTTCCTTCCAGATGTTCGAGAAACTACTAGGCGCCACGGTATTACGTATTTACAGAGTCAACTAATATCGGATATACAACAGAGCAAAAGTCAAGTGTCTAGAATTGATGATGGAATTAATATAATCAAATCTAGATTCAGGGGAAAAAAGGTTCTTATTCTTCTGGATGATATAGATGACAAGAATCAACTAGATGCGTTGGCTAGGGAACATAATTGGTTTATGGCAGGAAGTATGATCATTGTTACAACTAGAAATGAAGCCGTTCTTGATCAATCTGAATTCGAGGTAGACTACAAGTATGAATTGTATGGATTGGATGAGGTGCATGCTTTGCTTCTATTTAACAGACACGCATTTTGTATGGACCATTCTCCGAGGGACTTTGAGGGTATATCTCGTGATATCATATCCACCATGGGTGGGCTTCCTTTGGCACTTAGGGTCGTAGGTTCATACTTGTATAAAAAAACAAATCGGGAAGTATGGGAAGATGTGCGGAAGCAATTAAAAAACCAACCACATAAAGATGTCCAAGAGATATTGCGAATAAGTTATGATGCATTAGAAGATGGACATAAGCAGATTTTTCTCGATATTGTTTGTTTCTTTATTGGCAAACGTAGCGAAGTGCGCAAATTCGCCATGTACATGTGGGAGGACTGTGGGTTTTATCCAAGTCAAGGAATTGAAGAGTTGAAGTTGAGGTGCTTAATTAAAATTGGAGATGATGGTGAGTTTATGGTGCATGATCAACTGAGAGATCTTGGAAGGAGCATTTTTTGTCAAGGACAACCGCTTGACAAACGTTGTGGGCCATGGGATTGCAACTACCGGGGAGCCTCGAGGGTAGTAAGGGACTATAAGGTAAAATATTGCACTCCTTTCTTTTTCTCTCCCTCTTATTTTAATATATTTAATCTGATATGTTCTAATATTTCATCTAGCATGAACAGATGCTCTTACTTTCTAGGAAAAAAATTTGTGTAAACATCCATTTATGTCCATCGTAGATTAATCGTGACAACTAAATAAATTATAAGTATCCGAAGGATGAAAGAGTTAAATCATTTGATTCGATTTCATTGTTATAAATTACATCCGTAAAAATTTAGGAATCGGCATATAATATGTATTAGGGCCAATTATAAGTATCCGAATGTAGTGTGGTGCTCCTGTGATTTAGGAATCCAATTTTTGATATTTTTTTCTCCATTTTGATTGTGAAGATACCCATCCCTCTACCCTACTAGTTATTTCTATCTCTTTTCATTTTTATTTCTTCTTAATAGATAAGATAGCAAAAATCCCCTTAAAAATATTTTCAAGAAGATCTTACTGTTTTTTAAGTTTTTATCACGTTTACCTTGCTCATTTCTTATGACAAACATTTCTGTCCGCTATAAGTTTTATATTATTTATGTTTTTTGGGACAATGCCTCTTTTGTGCCAAAAACCGCTAGACTAACTTGACTATTTAAAAAAAGAAGAAGAAAACTTGACTAATTAGAGAAAATGTCGTGCTTATTATTATATTCATACCGTTGTATTCGTTATATATGATTTTCAGCACGAAGCAAATTTTTTCGACTATGTTTCTCTTTTACTTAAAATATCAATGTTCATGTCATTTTATCATTATATATTTGTCCATCTTGATGCCTCATAGGCTCATGAATAATCAATGGCAAGGAATTAACCCTAGCAATTAACCAAGAGATGTTGGGCAAAGGAAATAGCTTTTTATTCTTGATATAATTTGAAATAGTTCGTTCCTATGATTCGACATCACACTCTTTTGTTGATCCAATAACTTCTTAACATTAGCAAAAAGAGCACACCATACGGGTCTTTGGAAAAATGTAAAAAAGTTAAATTTGTTTTGAATAGACAGAAATTTTGAAAGATGATAATTAGTGTAGGAAAAAAAAATTAAATGATTGTAAGGTAGAAAGATTTTGATTTAACTTTGGAAAATGAAATACTTATGGGACTAATTTCCAATTGTCCTGACTATTTAAAATATAATTTTGTCTATTTTGTTATATCCTATTTCTTCAACTCATTTTGGTGAAATATCTGCGAATTGTGTGTAAACTTTTAACGAAAGTTTGAGGTTTGAAATCCCCTTTTCATATAGTAGACTCTTTAATGTAATATACCGTATAGATTGATGTACGAGCGAAAATTATGAAAGATAGCGTTGGGGTGATGATTACAACAATTTAGTGACTTTTCCTACGAACAAACTTAAGAGAAATTATAACCGTTGTAGGTTTTTCACTATTTAATATTTAAAGTAGAGATAACGACAAACGAGTTGAATCGTAAAAGTGAATCAAACCAACAAAAAATAAAAATTCTAACCGATTGAACTTTTGGGAGAAAATATAGGTATTATTATTAAAATCAATCAAAGCCATGTGGGATTTTTTTCACCATCTTCAACTAATTAAATGATCTGTTTTAGCAGGAAATTATAACAGTATGTTTCGACTTATAAGATGCAAAAAGAAACAGTGCCATTCTTATACAAACGGACATATGTGTCTTCAGTTTTTTTTGTTGGTAAATAAAAATAAGTGATTTATCCAGAAACTTTCATATGACAGGCTTTGCTTAAAGATATTGCTTAAAATCTAAAAAAGTGCATTGCTAACCAATGTCACCACATCTCTTTTTAAACATACTTTACAAAAAATAAAAGTTTCGGTTTTCAAAAAAAAATGATTAAACACTCCACAAATATAGTTAATGAAAAGAAAATCGGGTCCTTCCTTAGCTACTTAAAGGTGGCTCACTAGAACTCTTTGACAAATTCTTTGGAAAAATTATACACAAGTCATATGAAAATTTACAAGTAAATATTTGTATGTTGTAAAATGGTTTCATGTATTTCGTGTTAAATAAAATTCAAAGTGCACGCGCCATATAATTTGAAAAAAAAAAAAGAACAAAAGATGAAACATTGAGGTGCATTTGCCTTAGCTGTTCTAAAGCAATAACTATTTAAAAAAAAATTAAATGCAAAATCACGTGTCCGTATTTATGTGCAGGATTGATAGGAAGATAACAAATCTTGCATATCCAAGATTTAAAAAGAAAGCAAAAATTAAAATGTTAAAAAGTCAATTGAGAGACTCTCAATGGATTGATTTGATATAACGGGGAATTGAAAAGGATTCTGTCATTTTTTTTGTCTCCTCGAATTCCGTCCGCCATATCCAGACGTCCTCAGATGAACCATTTGAAAAAACTTGCAAAGCCCCCTGGTTCTGTGTCCATATTTTTTAAAGCAATAACAATTTTTTTTCTTTATTTTCAAAAATTTCGAAAGGTCGTTGAAAAAAAAAATTAAATGTGAGTTCACGTGTCCATATTTATACACAGGAAGGATAGAATGGCAACAAATCGCACAAATCCAAGATTTAAAAAAAAGGAAGCAAAAACTGAAAAAGTTAAAAAAGTCAATTTACACGCTCTCCTGATTGATTTGATACAGGGGAGCCTTTACAACCCCTGGTTTGATGACTGAATGCGGGTAGCTTCAAGCGGAGACTCTTCTAACGAACTCCTTTCTGAAGTAAGATGGCTTCAGTGGCGTGTCGTCGAGGGAAGCGATCCGCCTCTTCCGACGACCAATTTGCATCTACCGAACTTATCGGTGCTGGATTTATCATTTAACTGGGACATCGCAAAGGATTGGGAAGGATGGAGGAGTTCATTCATGGTAAGATTGGGGAAAAAAAAGAGACATCCTCCCTCTCTCCATGATTTAAGATGGCGTTTTGTTTTTGTTGAGCCAATGCCCCCACTCATTCTTTTGACAGCTTTATTCTCCTCTTTTTTGTGTAGACGGCAAAGCGGCTACAAGTTCTCAACCTTGAATGGTGCTTGGGTTTAAGATGTACTCCTGATCTCTCGGCTTTCACGCAGTTGAAGATCCTCACCTTGAAAGGTTGTCTCGAACTGGAGCATCTCCACCCTTCTATTGGCAAACTCAAGAGCCTCGTTTCCTTGGACTTGAGTGAATGTGCAAGTCTCAAGGGGCTACCAGAGGAAGTGGGGGCGAATTAAAAGATTTAGAAGAACTTGTATTAGATTATACTAGTATTACGGAGATCCCTACGTCTATTGGTTCTCTGAGGAAGCTGAAGAAACTGTATGCCTACGAGTGTGAGTCACTGAGAGAAATCCCTAGCTCAATTGGGGATTTACAGAATTTGCAACTTCTGAACTTGTATCGCTGTAAAAGTCTCAAGGAGCTACCAGAGGAAGTGGGCGAATTAAAAGATTTAGAAGAACTTACGTTAGATTACACTGGTATTACAGAAATCCCCACGTCTATTGGTTCTCTGAGGAAGCTGAAGAATCTGAGTGTCGAAAGTTGTAGGTCACTGAGAGAAATCCCTAGCTCAATTGGGGATTTAAAGAATTTGCAACACCTGAACTTGAGTGGCTGCGAAAGTCTCAAGGAGCTACCAGAGGAAGTGGGCGAATTAAAAGATTTAGAAGAACTTAAATTGAGTTTTCTTGGTATTACAGAGATCCCTGTGTCTATTGGTTCTCTGACAAAGCTGAAGAAACTGAGTGCCGGTGGCTCATTGAGAGAAATCCCTAGCTCAATTGGGGATTTACAAAATTTGCAACTTCTAGACTTGTGTGGCTGTAAAAGTCTCAAGGAGCTACCAGAGGAAGTGGGCGAATTAAAAGATTTAGAAGAACTTGAATTGAGTTTTCTTGGTATTACAGAGATCCCTACGTCTATTGGTTCTCTGACGAAGCTGAAGAAACTAAGCGCCAGCCAGTGTAGGTCACTGAGAGAAATCCCTAGCTCAATTGGGGATTTACAGAATTTGCGGGCTCTAGGTCTCACAGGATGCTATAGTCTGAAAGGGGCAATTCCAAGTGAAATCGGCGACTTGTCTTCGCTTGAGAGTCTCTATTTCAATAGCACACCGATATCTGACTTGCCAGAAAGCATCCGTAATCTTTCTTCTCTCCAAAGCCTTACACTATTGGGCTGTGACAAGCTTTGGTCGCTGCCAGAGCTTCCTTCGGGCTTAATTGATCTAAGGGTCTCGTGTCAGAGTCCTAGGTTGCCACATCTTTCTAGCCTAATCCACCTAAAAGAACTCCATCTTGAGGCATGCCATCTACTTGAAGACATCTCCAAGCTTCCCTCGAGACTCTTGAAACTCTATATTGAGGAGTGTGGTAAGCTGAAATTGCTTAAGCTCAACGGATTGAAGAACTTGGAAGAGCTTTCAATAAAAAATTGCAGTTCAATTGAAAGATTGGACCTTTCACAATTAATTCGTCTGAAATATTTAGACGTTGAGGATTGCAATAACCTAGTTGAAATTCAGGGCCAGGAGAATTTGGAGTTCTTGAATCTCTATATTGAGGAGTGTGGTAAGCTGATATTGCTTAAGCTCGACGGATTGAAGAACTTGGAGATGTTTTCAATAAAAAAGTGCAGTTCGATTGAAAGATTGGACCTTTCACAATTAATTCGTCTGAAAAATTTACACGTTGAGGATTGCAATAACCTAGTTGAAATTCAGGGCCAGGAGAATTTGGAGTTCTTGAATCTCTATATTGAGGAGTGTGGCAAGCTGATATTGCTTAAGCTCGACGGATTGAAGAACTTGGAGATGTTTTCAATAAAAAAGTGCAGTTCGATTGAAAGATTGGACCTTTCACAATTAATTCGTCTGAAATATTTAGACGTTGAGGATTGCAATAACCTAGTTGAAATTCAGGGCCAGGAGAATTTGGAGTTCTTGAATCTCTGTATTGAGGAGTGTGGCAAGCTGATATTGCTTAAGCTCGACGGATTGAAGAACTTGGAGATGTTTTCAATAAAAAAGTGCAGTTCGATTGAAAGATTGGACCTTTCACAATTAATTCGTTTGAAAAATTTACACGTTGAGGATTGCAATAACCTAGTTGAAATTCAGGGCCAGGAGAATTTGGAGTTCTTGAATCTCTGTATTGAGGAGTGTGGCAAGCTGATATTGCTTAAGCTCGACGGATTGAAGAACTTGGAGATGTTTTCAATAAAAAAGTGTAGTTTGATTGAAAGATTGGACCTTTCACAATTAATTCGTCTAAAAAATTTACACGTTGAGGATTGCAATAACCTAGTTGAAATTCAGGGCCAGGAGAATTTGGAGTTCTTGAATCTCTGTATTGAGGAGTGTGGCAAGCTGATATTGCTTAAGCTCGACGGATTGAAGAACTTGAAGATGTTTTCTATAAAAAAGTGCAGTTCGATTGAAAGATTGGACCTTTCACAATTAATTCGTCTGAAAAATTTACACGTTGAGGATTGCAATAACCTAGTTGAAATTCAGGGCCAGGAGAATTTGGAGTTCTTGAATCTTTGTATTGAGGAGTGTGGCAAGCTGATATTGCTTAAGCTTGATGGATTGAAGAACTTGGAGATGTTTTCAATAAAAAGGTGCAGTTCGATTGAAAGATTGGACCTTTCACAATTAATTCGTCTGAAAAATTTACACGTTGAGGATTGCAATAACCTAGTTGAAATTCAGGGCCAGGAGAATTTGGAGTTCTTGGAGGGCATATTTATATATGACTGCAATTCCATTAAAAGGCTTCTCTGTCCAGAATCAGGGTGTTTGAAGCAATTAGCGGCTGTCAAATGCAACAATCTAGTCGAAATTCGAGGTCTTGACGGTGCGAAGTTCTTAGAAAAGTTGAATTTTACTGGATGCGAATCAATGGAGATGTTGCCAAATTTGACGGGATGTGAGAAGTTACGATCTCTAAATGTTCTAAACTGCAAGAAACTTACTCAGCTTGGGGGATTTGAAAAGTTGGATTTAATTGATTTGGATATCTCTGGTTGTGACTCATTGGAAGCAATACCGAAATTATCCGGAACACGCGTCTTTAGAAATTATGAACAAACATCTTACTGCTCATGGATTAATGATTACTTAACAGAGAGTGATTGATGTTTCCTCAACAGAGGTAAATAAGTAGTGAACAATCATTTTTCTTCTGAGATTCATGGGAGGAAGAACACTAGAAGTGCCAAAAGTTGTGTACGGCGCTCACTTTGGTGCCAAAAGTTTCAATCGGATCACTTAAGTGCCAAAAGTTGTGAAAAACGATCACTTAAGTGCCACTTCGCCGGAAATCTGACGTGGCATTTTTTTATTAATTTCTCAAGCTGATATGGCTCGCCGGAGGCTAATGTGGCTCACCGGAGGCTGATGTGGCATTTCTTTTCTTTTTTTCCCCTTCTCTTTCTTTTTTCCTTTCTTTTCTTTTTTTTCTTTTCTTTTTTCTTATTTCCGATGGCCGGCATCCGGCCACCGGCCATGGCCGGCCTCGCCAGGCGTCGCCTTCCTCCGGGTGAGGCTCGGCGAGCTAGGGCTCGCCTCGCCAGATCCGTCGATGCCGGCCTTCGCCAAGGCCATGGCGGCCTCGTTGGGCCTCGCTCAGAGGAAGGCGACGCCCGGATAGGCCGGCCGTGGCCGGAGGCTCGGCCACCGGCCATGGTAGAAGAAGAAGAAGAAGAAGAAGAAGAAGAAGAAATAAAAGAAAAAAGAAAAGAAAGAAAAAAATCAGAAAAAATATTTAAAAAATTAAATTATACACGTGGAAATGCCACGTGTCATTAAAATTTAAATATAAAAGCCACGTATTAAATTTGGTCGGAATTTCTCGCCGTTGGCACTTAAGTGATTGTTTTTTCTCCGATTTGGCACTTAAGTGATCGCTGGCGTAAACTTTTGGCACTTAAGTGATCCAAATGAAACTTTTGGCACCAAAGTGAGCGCCGTATATAACTTTTGGCACTTCTAGTGTCCTTCCCCCGAGATTCATGACTTACTTTTCATCACTATCTTCTTTTGACAAGAATGTTTTTCATGACAGGGTTCTGTACTTTCCTAAATTGCTAGTCTTACATAATTGAAGGAGTGGGGGAGTTGGTCATAGCAATGTTTCAGCCAAGATCAAAATGTTGACGCAAATGTCAATAGAAGGCATTGGTCATCTAGTAAGATTCTTCATCCTTGAATGGCCAGCATGAGCGAATAGAGTAATACTTTTCTCGAAGCTCTATTTTTTAAGAATGATTTGCTCCACATCTGGTATCTATTTGATGGATTTTGGAAACTCCGGATTTGCCTACATATTACGTTATAGCAATATTTTTCATCCTTCCATTGGCAGCTTGTGTAGACTGCAAACAGATTAGCGGCTAGTGAGGCAAGGATGAAAATATCGAACATAGATAAACAAGAATTCCCTAGTGATTTACAGTTTCTCCCTTGATAAACCCGGGATTTGAATATTTCATTTAGAGGCCGATGATCTTCCGCTACTCAATATTCTGAACTGCTTCAAAAGTCCATTTTTCCCTATGTCCAAAATTCATATTTTCTTTTAAAAAATCCTTGGCCATTTTGAGTTCCTTTGTGAGTATTTTTGTGTGTCGAATTTGACTAATGATAGATATCCTATTCAGAACAAACACCTTTTTATTTTCCCTGATGATAAAAAACCCAGTCAAGTTTCTCATTGTTCCATTGATGTTCCTCTTGAATCTTACAAGATAGAGCATGAATTCCTAGTAAGTATGAGAAACTGAGCTAAATAAAAGTCAAAGTTTCAAGTTTCTCTAGTTGGTGATAAAAAAAATGAGAAGTAGTTCTGACTTGTCTGTCATATATAATTATAGACCAGCTCACAGCTATTTTTTTGAAAGATTATCAAGCAAAGGCGAACCGGTGCTGCTTTTGTGACAGGTCTGGTTAGTCTATGTAATGACTGAGGCTTAGTATTGGACTTCAATTCAATGAGTTGTATCGATAACCTTGTGCATAATTGGGACAATATTTCACCCGTTTTGTGAAACAAGCTGGGGCAGGGAGCTCAAGAATTTGCTAATTAGTTTGCATCCCATTTGATCCTATTGTTGTCATGGATTCGTTTTATGACATGATTGATTTGGGTCTGGCTAACTTGGCAGAGAAACTTCAAGTTTCATACCAGAGCCCAATCAAAATGACCAGGGATTTTGCAGAGGAAGAATCAGCAACAGTTGAGGGCCATCTTGCGTGCCAATCATGAAGAGGCTCATGGGCCAACTCGATTGTACTGAGGAAGTTTCGATAATTGTGAAGATCCAAACACCTGATTTGGTCTCAACAGCACATTCCTGAATGCTTGTTAGTGTAGTTTTCTCAATTGAATCTGCTGTCTGTATGCTCATTAGGTTCTAAGTCCCTATTAATCTAATAGGTACCTGCTGATTTTCTGTATGTTACCTTGATGCAGAGTTGTTTGATGCAGTTGCTTTCTAATGATATCGCTCCCGTGCTTTCCTCAAGACTCTTGAAACTCTGTGTTAGAGAGTTTGATAAGCCGATATCACTTAAGCTTGATGGATACAAGTACTTGGAAGAGCTTTCAACAGAAAAGTGAGGTTCCATTGAAAGATCGGACCTTTCACCATCAATTCGTCTGAAACAATTATGCGCTGAGCATTGCAATAACCTAGTTGAAATTCAAGGCTATGAGAATTTGGAGTTCTTGGAGGACATATTTATATGTGGCTGCAATTCCATTAAAATGCTTCTCTGTCCAGAATCGCGGTGTTTGAAGCATTTAGTGGCTAGGAGATGCAACAATCTAGTCGAAATTCGAGGCCTTGACGGTGCGAAGTTCTTAGTAAAATTGGATATCACGAGATGCATATCAATGGAGACTTTGCCAAATGTAACCGGATATGAGAAGTTATGATCTCTAGTAGTTGAAGACTGTAAGAAACTTACTCAGCTTTGGGGATTTGAAAAGTTGGATTTAATTGATTTGGATATTTCTGGTTGCGACTCATTGGAAGCAATACGGAAATTATCTGGAACACGCCTCTTTAGAAATTATCAAGAAGAGCTGTCTTGCGACTCATGGAGTGATGTTTCCTCACCAGAGGTTAATTAACAGTGAACAATCATTTTTCCATTAAGATTCATGACCTACTTTTCATCATTATCTTCTTTTGACAGGAAGGTTTTCCATGACAGGTTCTGTACTTTCCTAAATTGCTAGTCTTACATGATTGAAGGAGTGGGGGAGTTGGTCATAGAAATGCTTCAGCCAAGATCAAAATGTTGACGCAAATGTCAATAGAAGGCATTGGTCATCTAGTAAGATTCTTCATCCTTGAACGGCTAGTGTGAGCGAATAGAGCAATACTTTTCTTGAAGTTCTATTTTTTAAGAATGATTTGCTCCACACCGGGTATCTAGTTGATTGATTTTGGAAACTCCATATTTGCCTACATATTACGTTATAGCAATGTTTTTCATTTATCCCTCCAATGGCAGCTTTTGTAGACTGCAAACTGATTAGCTGCTTGTGAGGCAAGGATGAAAATATCAAACATAGGCAAACAAGAATTCTCTAGTTATTTACAGTTTCCCCCTCATTAAACCTCGATTTGAAATTTTCACCTAGAGCCCGATGATTTTCTGCTACTCAATATTGTAAACTACGCCTAGATTTTCCCTGTCCAAAATTCATATTTTCTTTGAAAAAATCCTTGGCCATTTTGAGTTCCTTTGTGAGTTTGCTTGTGTCAAATTTAACTAATGGTAGATGTCCTGTTTGGGACAAACGCCTTTCGGTTTTTCGTGATGAACGAAAACCCTTTCAAGTTTCTTATTGTTAAGAGCATCAATTCCCAGTAAGTATGATAAACTGAGCTAAAATAAAATATAAGGTTCAAGTATTTCTAGTTGCTGATAAAAATGTTTCTGTCATATATGAATGTACACCCCCTTAACATTACGAGTAGTCAAATTGTTGTTTTGAAATATTATCAAGCAAGGTAAACTGATGCTGCTTCTATGACAGGTTTGGTTGGTCTATGAATCAGCTCTATTGATGACCTTTTGCATAATTGGTCAATATTTTGCCCATATGTGAAACAAGTTGGGGGCGAGGAGCTCAAGAATTTGCTAATTAGTTTACAACCCATTTGATCCTATTGTTATCATGGAATTGTTTTATCACATGACTGATTTGGGTGTGGCTCACTTGGCTGAGGAACTTCAAATTCCAGACCTGAGACAGATGAAAAGGAAGAAAAGGGATTTTGCAGAGGTAGCATCAGCAACAGCTGAGGACCATCTTGCGTGGCAAACTTGAAGAGGCTCGTGGACCAACTGGAGTGTCTTGAGGCAATTTTGATGCTTGTGAAAATCCAAAACACTTGATCTGGTCTCAGCAGCACATACCTGAATGATGGCAAATGTAGCTTTTTAAATTGAATCTGCTTTTTGTATTCTCGTTTGGTTCTATCTCTTTGTTAATCAAATGAGTAGTTGCTGAACTTTTTGTATGTTAACCTGATGCAGAGTTATTTGATGCGATTGCATTCTAATGATATCACTCTTGAACTCGATGAGGCTCTGCAGAGGGAGGTATGCACTGCTAAGCTCCTCCATTTCTATCAGTTTATTTGGGTGATAATATCCTTTGAATGTTGTCATATGGGTTTCTGATTTGATAAGCTCAGTTCTCATGTATGCGGTATTGAATTCGTAAAGTTGAAATTTACCTTCTCACTAATTATCCCAAATTGCTGATTTTGTTGATTGGATATTGCCAATGACCAAGTAAAAAATACATCTTTCTGTGCTGTAGTTTAGGCACTTCACCTTTTCAGCATAATTTTGTTAACATCAATTCTGTTCCTGAACGCAAACGAGGAAAGTGTTGCTAATTGCTTACTTCTCTTAAGCCTATTGTTTTCTTTTTCATCGGCTAGCTAATGGAGTCTCTGTTCATTGTGGTCCAACCGCGATTGGTGTAAATGATGTTTACGCATTTGTACCTTATCTTCATGGGGTTAATTGTGATGCTGCGATCTCGGATATCTTCATTTATTGATAATCAGTCAATACTAACTTCCTTGTGCAGATTCAAGGTGCATTTCATGAAACTCGGAGAAAGTCCCCAAACACCATGGGATGGAGATACGGGCATGAATGAGCTATGTCATTATGGGAAGGCATTCCGAAGTTCTTTTCTATTGGCGTTTATCATGTGCTCCGTGTTGTTAATACTCTTCAAATGATTCTTGATATAAAGAAACCTCTTCTTATATGGTGTTTTAGTCCTTTGCAAGCTTTGACATCTTGCTATTCTTTAGCAAAGGCCGAATCTCAAAAGTGCTTGCAGGAAGACCACATGTGCAGGTGGTTCTGCATGTAAATTTTAAGTATTAAATCAAATTTGTTAACAAGATAACCGCTAAGATGTCCACTTCAAGCTACAATTTTGCCACTGGAGCAGAGACTATTTTCGTGGAAAACGTGAATGTCGTGGAATTAGCAAATAATCTATCAATTGCGGCCAAGAGTTTCAATGAAAAGGTTTTCAAGAATCCCGTAGTTTCTCATTAGGAAGAATTTTGAACACGAAATGAAAGGCTTCATTTGTGTAAAATCATCTCTCTGGTATGGTTACGTCGAAAAATTCATATGTAGGCATTTTTCAATCACTTTGATTGTATAATCTCGAACTTGATTTATTTACGCATGAATCTAAAAGCAGGAGAGACACACCCGTGTACATTTTCATACCTGAAGCCTATTTTTCTGGCGTTGGCTACGGTTGAAAACTATTGGTGAAAATGTGGACAAAATTTTTGGAAGGGTGAAAAGAGCCCTTCCCAAAATTTACTCATTTGGTTTGAACAAAAAACTTTAAATGGTCATGTAATTGGTTAATAATCAGACTCTACTACACCAAATTTGTGGTCACCAATCATGCATTCTAGTTTCAATCGATGCAATTTCTTGGTGGCCACTCTCAGATATTCTTGTACCCTTTACTAGATTACGATGGTGGAATTTTATTAGTTAAAAGCTACTCGCAAGGTACTCATTATCTGATTCGCTTGTTGTCCACTTGAACTTCGACTAAATTTTTACAAAGCTCAAGACAAGGCCAAGGAGCTTGTTAAGCCAAGTTCGAATCTATGAGTAGTAACACATATAATGCAAGTCGTGTTGAAATACTTGTTAAACATACTTAACATGAAATAATTTAATTTTCAGAATATTGGTCAAACATTACACGAGAAAAGTCGCAAGTAAAGTTAATGTATCGACTCTATGCTTTATTTACTTAATTGCTTAACCAGTCTCCAGGCAAATTAAGCCAAAGGGCAATAGCATTGTGTTTGACGACTTATGGAACATTAGTTACAACCTTATCAGCTGAATTGATTTGAAGTTCAAAAACCGTGAATTTCCCAGATAACTGGATGAAAGTGTTAAACCGAGTGAACTGATTCGGTTCTGTTCATGAGTTTTAAGTCTTTTCTTTCTTCTGCTTCGATTTCGTGCTAGAGATTTGCTTCAAGCTTGTTTTTTAAAGTTCTATCACATTTTACGTCAAGATCTCATAAATTACAGCCATTTGAACAATAACTAAGTAAGTTTTGACAGGATTAAAGAGGGTTCACTTTGAGGCTTTTCAGTTTTCCTCACTTTTGTAACTCCAAGCTCGACGGGACAGTACTAGGAATATGAAAACTGTCCTCAAATCAAAATGGAACTATGGAAAGCCTTTCGATTTATTTAACACCCGGCATTTTTAGGTTATATAGTTTCGGTAGTATACGTTGCCAGATGATGAATTGTGCCACAAAGAGGAATCGAAATAGATGAATTGAGGAAAGAAGGGGGTTAAAGAACCCAGAAACGAGGCTTAAACAAACATATGGCCAAAACAGAGTCCTAAACAACAAATCGACCCCTAAATAGATCGAAACGTCAATCCTACAAATACAAGTATTCATCTGATTCTGCAATCATCATAAAATTTATTAGGAAAAGAGCTTAGTGAAAAGAGGAGAGATGAATAGATCAGACAATTTACCCATCCATGGGTAGCTCAGTTGGTTAGGGCGTACTTGAGATTGTGTGGTTAGGTGCACTGGTCCCAGGTTCGATTCCCCAGCTGAGCACTTGTGATTTAAGTGGGGGGCCATGGCGGTGGCTTGCTGTGCTAGTCTCCCTCGAGGAATAGTCGAGGTGCGCACAAGCTGGCCCGGACACCTCGGTTACCAAAAAAAAAAATAGATCAAACAATTTTACTTTACATGGGCATGCATGCAGGATCCTGTCCCAGATAAATCAGAAGGTAAGTAATGTTTTTTTAAAAAAAATCAGCGTTTATAAATATATACGACCATCACATATGGGTTGTCTCATTTCTTATTTTTTGAATGCTGGAGATCGATGAATGAAACAACGAGTCATGCGAACATAATATCGGAAAGATCGAACATTATGGCACTCTTCTGAATATTTGATTACCATTAGATACATATAAAGATGAACACCCAATAAACACAACAAACCTCTCTATTTCCTCTTGACAGATCTCACTTTTTTTCTCTCTTGATGGCGATGAACACAATATTCCGTAATTTCTACTAATTAGAATCGGTGAGTGATGCTCGAGCAATTGCGCTTCAACCATCGGAACCCTTGCTTGAGAGAAGCCTTGAACTTGCCTTCGACGGAATAAAGCTTGTATCTGGCCACCCTCCTCTTCCTCTTCTTCTCCGGATCGTTCCACCACGACGCTTTTATTGCCGACTTCTTCACTTTGTATACTTTGTGCGGGGGAGAAGCGGGTTCGAGCATGCGAGGCCGGGATTTGGCTATGTACATCGGGTTTTGGTTAAGAGCTTGGATCGTCATGATCTCTAAAGTCCGGCCAACTCCATGGGATCGGTAGCTCAGCGACCACAGGTCCATCTGTGTCCTCGATCTCTCTCTCTCTCTCTCCCGGCCCTCCCTCGTGGCCTCTCCCCTCTTTGGGATGAGAAGGATTTTTTTTTCGAAGAGAGAGAGAGAGAGAGAGAGAGAGAGAGAGAGAGAGAGAGAGAGAGAGAGAGAGAGAGAGAGAGAGGAAGGCTCTCTCTAATGTTCTCAGATGGAGATGACAGCAAACATAGAGGTGCTTTTTTCGGTTGGGGATGGAGACTTTCACGTAAGGGAGAGAGGCGACCAGGATTTGGACCTTCTATTTTTAACATTGGGATATAAATCCATGCAATTTTTTTCTTTCTTTTGAAATTACGATGATGCTTTTCTCTTGTTAAGTGAAGTTACAGGTTACATGCCATGCGACCGAAGGCTTCTGTGTCTTTGATATTAACACGTGATGCTGCTGTGATCGGCTTCAGAGGCGAGACGAATTCGTCCCAAACCTACATTCGCGGGGTTTGTCGGGTGGTTGAAATTTCGATTATTCAAAAATCAAAGAAAGATCCGCAACAATACTCATCTTAAATCAATGATAATGATACAAGACCACCAAATCCAAAAGGAAATTAACGTGATCATGCACATACCTAAATTGCGGTTATGTTTGGTTTCGCTTGTCCCTCTTTTTGGTTCTTCTCATTGCCAGATATAGCACGCTTTGTTTCCCCAGAAATCGCTTAGCTAGAGATCTGCAGAGCGAATGATAGGCACGGCAAAGGCAACTTATAGCGCAAGGGAGAACATTGCAATGTCTGCATAGATGGCTGCTCATTTTGGTGAATGACTCACCAATACTATTTAGCTCCTGTCAACTACATACACTCTTAACCAAGGAAATTCAAGAGTAACTTCGTGTTGGGGAACCGTGGGAAACTAGAACTCAAAAGCATAGAGTGTGGCCGTGGTCAGGTTTCGACCAAGGAGCTTTCTGAAGCACCAAAATTCTCTTAAGAAAAAGCGACCCAGCACAAGAAGACGGAACTGAAGCTCTCATTGGCAATGAATTTTTCCCATATGCACATCAGAATTATTAATTGGATCACTAAGTAATGATGTCTAGTCTTTACATGCAAAAGCTATTTACATAAGAAAAACCGCCCCTGACAGCAATAGCTTCGACAGTTCATGAATTGATTGTCGAGCTAGTCAATCTCCACTCTGCACTTTGTTCTATTCCGAACATTCTTTTTGGTCGTCTTGGCATTATCCATGTGCGAAATCTGCAACAACCGTTAATGGTCAAACAAATTGCACAAAAGTTAAAAAGAATATCATACTTTTCACTTCAGCTTTTCTTATAGGAGAGTTAAGGAAACCAATAGATGCTATTCACTTACTATAGAAGACTTCCATTCAATTTTGTCATTACCGTCTGCAGTAGCCTGCTGAGATCGGTCCCATATATGATGAAATATGTGCACAAGAACAGCAGCATCAAGAGCGGCATATTCCAGCTGCAAACATTGCAATTGCTCAAGTTAAATCAAAGGACTTCTGCTCTAATCATATTTCAGAAACATCAATGGTTACTTTTCTCCTTTCTTCTCTGCGCTGTGTTTGCTCCTTAATATACATTTATGGTTCTTTCCCTATCTTGGGGTTGAAAGAGGGGATGACATTTGTAAAAAATAGGAAAAATTCTACTTTTCTTGCACGTATTTTCATGCCTTTTCCAATCCAGTCCCCGAATGAAATCCCTCCGACATCAAATCCAATTAAGTCCAGCTGATGTGACCGTTGAACAACGTCATGCCATGACCAGGATAAAAATTTTCTGTCAATGTGGATTGACGGAAATTATCCGCATCATACTTACACGTTGTCTACGATATCTAATTCTCTTCACACATGTCAATTTGGGTATCTGCACATTAACATCACACTTTGGCACATCAGCCGTCCGCTGAATTTGGTCAAATTTGGTATCGGAGGGACTTGATTAAAAATTCAGCAAAAGTAGGACTTGATAAGATAAATTAAAAGAACTTGATTAGAAAAAGCGTGAAAGTATAAAGATGAAAAATAAATTTTTTCCTAAAATAAATCAGCAGTTACGTTGTTTTAAATAGACGCCAGAAGTACTTTTGTTGCACTGAAGATCTCGAGAAATCGCTTAAGCAAATGCCAAAATCATGTCTGCTGACCCTACACTCTTGAAAGTTCAGAGCATTAAGATTTCCATGGAAGTGTCTCCATGAAGTTCCGCATACTGACATCATTCTTACAGATGCATTCCGCACAATAATATGCTCTCCCAACCATTTGAGTTCTGATATTAAATTGTGTGATTCTTCCTGTAATTTCCATTCTGAGGAAA